TTTAGGCAAAACCTATGAGAATCTTATGAAAGTTCCTTCGTCAAGACAAAAGATATGAGGCTGGTCTTAGATTTTTCTCCTAACTTTTATCATCTAAGATATTCCTCCTTTTTAGGCAAAACCTTTGAGAATCTTATGAAAGTTCGTTTGACAAGGTGTTTGGCTGATGACTGAGGATTTTTAAATGCTTCTTATTTACACATCGTTGTTCACTCATCTTCATTTTTCATGTGGAAAAGTGATTTATCAGTTCATGGCCCTCTTTTATCAATTTGGCTCTTGCACTTTATGTATTCACACTTGTAGTCACATCATTACATGGATGATTAGAGGATTCTTCCTTAGTGGTTTCCTCACACTGAATTGACCTCCCAGCTAGTTTTTGTCTTTCTCTTGCATGGATTGTTCATGAGTCCAATTTTCAACTTATATCTACTCAGTATCTTGTTCACCTCAGAGTTTCTATAAACATTCTCAAGAACTTTTTACCCATATCCTTTGGCTGTGCAGTCCTTCTATCTTCGATTGTGCATACTTTTTCATTTGCCAAACATTTATCTGATTAGCAATAATAGTTTCACTTTACATGGCAATTCCCATGGGTTGTGCTTACTTAAGGTACTGTTAATGGGAACTTGCTCTTTTCTATTCTTACATGTGTTGCTATTGGAATTCTTCTACTACCCTTGATTATATGCAAGTGTGTCTCGTTTGTGAGTTTCCAACTGTAAGTTTCTTCCAACTCTCCTGAACCTGGATCTTTTCACCAATATTATTATATTTAGGGCAGATAGTCTTCTCAAATATCCCATTCTCACATCAGATTCTGGCTGTTCATAATGAATGTTGAGTTCCTGCCCTTGTTACACCATCACTCTGTTCCACTACTTACACACACTTTAATTTTGGTAACATACATCATCAGGCAGAATAGGACTCAATCTTACAGCCTGTTTTTTTGTTATGGTTTCTCTACTTCTTTGGCTACATACACATTATGTCTTTCTCTGACCATGTATTTCATTGGTAGTGCCAATGGTTTGGTGATCCTATATTTGATACATTTATAAAGATAGAGCATCATTTTCTAACATTTTATTAGTTTGCAGTTCCAATTACAGCTTCTCTGGCATTGGATACTTTGAGCTAGTATTTGAAGAATTTTTACTCTATGTGTCATAAATTGAGTAATCACCTGTTGCTCCAAAGTTGAACACAGAGCATCCCAAGTCCTGTGGACAACTTCCAATGCTGAGTAGAAACTGAACCACCTAACAGTGATCATTGGAGAATCCAAAATTTCTCAATTTTGAAACTTTGCAGCACAACAACAAGAAAAGC